GAGCGCTTGAAGTTCCTGAACCTGTACTCCCTGGAACGCAGGCGGGAGAGATACATGATTATATACACCTGGAAAATCCTAGAGGGACTAGTACCGAACTTGCACACGAAAATCACTCACAACGAAAGCAAAAGACTGGGCAGACGATGCAACATCCCCCAGTGAAAAGCAGGGGTGTCACTAGCACGTTAAGAGACAATACAATAAGTGTCATGGGCCTGAGACTGTTCAACTGCCTTCCAGCATATATAAGGGGGATTACCAATAGACCCCTGACTGTTTTCAAGCAGGCACTGGACATGCACCTAAAGTCGGTACCTGACCAGCCAGGCTGTGGCTCAAACGTTGGATAGCATGCAGCCAGCAGTAACAGCCTGGTTGATCAGGCTCTGATCCACCATGAGGCCTGGTCACAGACCGGGCCACGGGGGCGTTGACCCCCAGAACTCTCTCCAGCAAAACAACCATGGGGGAGTAAAATGATAGCTCTAGGCCTTTCGTGTTGCAATCAACACATCATCAGGAGCTTGCAGAATTGCAAGTATGTTCCCAGAGGACTGTCTTCACTGGAGAGAGTGAGTGAGGGAGGGAGAGAGGAGGGTACAGGAAGTGTCCCCAGGCACAACAGTGCTCATTGCCAGAAGGATGAATATTATAGCTTTAGAAAAATCCCACAAGCATTGATATTGTAATAGCCTAAACGAAATTAACGTGGCAGTAATAAAAAAATTGTTCCTATTCCGCTATGATTCCAACAACTTCACACACAAATATATTGTCAGTGATATAGAAGTCTCTGGAAACTGTAGGGTAGCCTTCCAAGTGACAACGTGTCCATTAAAGTGACGTGCAACTGGTAACATTTAGAGGGGAAACTTCTAAAATTTATGTAAGGAAAAGGGGATCATTAAAATAAACTCATTTAAAGGGGGAGGCATCTGCAATAACAAGAAGGACGGCCACAGATATTCAACCCACATAATTCTGAGGCAAACTCTGGTTCAACCTTCGGAACGCGTGCAGTTGGTAAAACCATTTGATGTGACCGGAGTGGACTATAGTGGGCCAATCATTTTAACAGGTACTTCAGATGGTGTTCCCTTGAAGGTGTATGTATGTCTATTTACTTGCACAGCTACTAGGGCTGTTCATCTAGAAGTGGCTCAGGACTTGTCTGCAGAACAGTTCATACAGCTGTTCCGGAAATTTGCAGCTAGGAGATCCTGTCCAAGACTGATAATCTCAGATAATGCCACCAATTTTGTAGCGGGTGCTCAACACTTGATGGAATTAAATAAGAGTGATGAAGTACAGTCTTTGTTGACCCAGCGAGGGTGTGTCTGGAAATTTATTACTCCCAGAGCCCCTTGGCAGGGAGGACTGTACGAAAGAATGATAGGTACAGTGAAAAGATGTCTTCATAAGGTGCTACACAGGAAGAGAATTAATTTGCAGGAATTCCGTGCGGTGTTGGTGGAGGCAGAGAATCGGGTAAACAATCGCCCTCTGTCATACATGAGCGACACTCCTGACACGGAGATCCTGACTCCCTCTCACCTAATATGCGGACGAAGGTTAGAAGCTGCACCTATCTATAGAGATAATCCTGAGGGAAGTGATGAGGATTACAATAACATGACCATGTTGAGTGATAAGTTCAAGATGTTAAATAAGGTAATTGCTCATTGGTCCGATGTGTGGCATAAAGAATATCTTCTTACACTACGTGAACACTTTTATGATGCGCCAGAGGCAGTAAACCGACAGAACATTCAACCAGGTGACATTGTGTTAATTGATACTGAACAACATCGAACATTGTGGCCTCTGGGCAAGGTAGTTACATTATACCCAGCTGCACAAGGTGTTGTCAGAAACGTCAAAGTGTTGTGTCGTGGTCAGGAAAGTTTGCGTACCATTAATAAATTTATTCCCTTAGAATTAAATGGTGTTCAATCCAGTGCGGATGGAAATCTAAGGGAAAGTGACACAAGTGATATTGAAGACACTGACCGAGTAATGCAAGAAGAAATTGTAGTAAGACCCACTAGGAAAACAGCAGCGCAATCTACAGAGGGCTGGAATCGTCTCCTGGAGGAAGACGCAATTTAAGTCGTCTAACAACGACTTCCACCCGGCCGCAGTGTGGAAATTATTTAATTTCCGAAGCTATTGTGCCTAATAAGTGTTTAATGTGTTGATTTGGGTCAAAATGTATTTGTATTTTGAATGGAACCAACTGGGTTCCCGCTGCGCCTGCGCAGATGTGAGGAAGTATAGGTCGAGCTGGGGCACGGGAGGCGGGAGTGTTTTGAATGGAGTGAGGAGGCTGGGAAAGCATGGAACCAGGAAATTGGCGTTCACGGCGGCCTAAGGATTAATATAGGCCTCATTTCATAATAGGAAGTGTCGTAACTGTTCCTGGTGGAGAGTGAGTGAACGTGATTTACGGGACCACCATAATAAAGTGGTAAAATGAGTGAATAAGGGTAGGACCGGGTGACTGGCGCGTCGCCATGGACTGTGTCCCGGGGAAAATTACCCTTGGTTTAATCATCACTTATCGGTCTCAGATCTTAATGGAGTGATCTCTAATGTGTATAATAATTATGAGACATTAAATCGTCTTGTAAATTGTAATGAAATTAATGATAATAACGCTAAGTTAAGAGAATGCGTGAAGTGAAATAAGTCGCCTTGCTCCGAGTGAACACCGCTAGACCAAGTTGTTCCCGTCACGAGGAAAGTGAGGTTCATGGAATCACGACTTCTAAACCAAGACAAACCAACGGATACCTCGTCCTGCTGGAATAAGAACCGTGTCGGTGTAGCAGGACATCGAAAAGAGATGGTGAATGGAGGAAATAAGGAGCATCAATCACCCACAGTTAAGTAACCTTTCTAGTTATAGCAGACTGATACTGGCCAGTTAGGTATGTTTTAATTGGATAGGTTATGGGTGATCCAGCCACATCAAGTGACCACCAGAGAATATCTGGTAAGTGGTGGGATTATGTGATGGGTATATCCATGTGTAACCTACCCCCTCTCCTTCATTCAGTTAAACTAATATAATCTATACAGTCCACAATTAATTAGTAGCGCCGTACTTGAGGGTGCTACCCAATTTATACTGGTCTCGGATAGATATGGATAAGATTGTGAGGGTCGAGGGGCCACCTGCAGTGACCAGAGGTGGTTAAGTTTTCTCACATGTCTACATGGGTGACTATGGTAAACAATATCGTTGTTTCTCCAAGGAGATTACTCGTATGCATGTAATGTTGAGGTATGTACAAGTAATCACTCCTATAAAATTTTCCATACAACCCATAAACAGTGATATTGTAATAGTAACCTAATGAACGTAACATGACAGTTATTAAAAATTCGGTCAGACTATATGATAAAAATGACTTTACATGCCAAATATAGATATCACTGGCAGTTGTCTTAGGAATTTTCGCACATCTAGAAAATGGACCATTTACAGGGACTCATTTAAAGGGACGCACGTGTAATTTATCTTAAGGAACATGGCTATAATTTGTCTGTCCTACAGGATTCTGAGACAAACACTAGTCTAACCATCAAGAAAACAAGTAGGAAAACCAGGTCCTAATTCCTTGGTGTGGAGCTACACTTAAAACAATCCAATACATTAGTATAACAGTCCAATTTTTTGACTATGTACAATTGCCTCAACTATAAATGAATCTAATTTGAACAAGCTGCCACTGTTATTGTATAATGAATGCTTATCTTTTATAACTGCCCATTCTACAATATTCTGTTCAAGCCAGGAGAAACAAGGGACAATGACTCTGGCTTCTGACCAGTTTGCCGAGTTATTGCAGACTTGGTGAAGTCCTAAAAACTACCCGTATATTAAATCTTTTAAGGGCATTCGGCAAACAGATAAATTCTTATTGTGGGGGAGAACCAACACATTCTTGATCTGAGGTGTTATCCTAGGCTCAGCTCTATGATAAGTTTTCATATACGCCAGCAATGCTGATTCCACGAACTCCTTAAGATACCACAGTTTCTTGCAATGTCAGATATAGTGAGGACAAATACTCCTTTTTACTCTTGTCTCATGGTTAGAATAGTGGTGAATATATGAGCACACATTAGTGGCCTTCCTATATACTGTAAATGTAAACTTTCTGTCGACCCTGTGTATCAATCTAAGAATGGAAGTTTAGATTTAACTTCCTTTTCCACGGTGGATTTAATTGACGGGACCAAATGTGTCCAAGGCCATATCATTTAGATAAAAGACACCTTGAAAGTCATCCACATATCTAAACCAATTAGCTTTGCAGGGCAGGATGTCTTTCAGCAACCTAGCCTCGAAAAACTCCATATACAGATTGCTCGATAAGGGAGTCAATAAATTACCCATACCACTGGTGGGGTTAGAACCCGCGATCAGAAACTCTCTGATCGCGGGTTCTAACCCCACCAGTGGTATGGTTTTACCCATAACCATTCCCTATCTTTGAAAGCAGTATTTACCTATAAATTCAAAGTTGTAATCAACTACACACAACTTAATCAGTTTAGTAATGTATTTTTAGCAAACGGCAAAGAGAACTCATTTAATTCTTCTTCTAAATAAGTCGCGAAGAGGCACTCTAGTGAACAATGCTATGACATCATAACATACTAGTGTAAAATCAATAGACATGTTAACATTTTGCAATTTGTCTACGAGAGCAACATTGTTTTTATGTGGGTTCAGAAATGTTGCCAAGCAATGGAGTTAATGTTTTACCAACCATTTTAACAGGGCACATGTTCCCCTGTTAAAATGTCGAATAATGTGTAAAACAGGTACAAGCTTTGCTTCTCTCTCATTCAGTAACAACGGTAATAACTAAATAATCCGTTATTTTCTGTTAGGGGTGAAGGAAACATATATACTAATACAAACTATACGTAAATAAAAATATTCGCTGGACATATTTGTTTATTTCAGGAATGATGAAACACCATTTAATACCAAGATATGTATTTATATTTTCGATAATAACATGAAACATACAACCATTTTTTTTTTCAGTCATTTGGAGTATGCTAACTTTTGTATGAACAATAAATCCATGCTAAAACCATGGTTATACACCATTCATCACTTTTTTTATAATACATATTTTAAAAAAAATTTTTTTTAATGAAAATGAAGTTGATAGCAAGACTTATGGCTGGCTATCTGGGCTCCACTACGCTACTCCTGAGTTGTATTCAAGAAACTTCCCGAAAATTATCTATCAAAACAAAACACTTTTGTTTTTACTAATACATCAGTATAATTTAAACTATGTTTACTTATATTTCAGCATCATTACTGATGATTATTTTCAGTAAGACATAAAATATACTTCTCAGCAGTGTATGAAATTCCAGAAAATCCAAGCCATCTTGTTCAACATGAAGATTGTTGTGGCGCTGCTAGAGGAAGGTTTACAAAGAACACCATCAAATACAGTAGTTCCTTAGCTCTCCGAGGCTACACATTCAGTAAGTACACAGGCATAGAGAAAGAGGGGAGGGGGTAGGGGGAAAGATTTGTCTTTAAGTGAACTGGATGTTGCCTGTGGGGCAGACCCTGCCTGAAGGACCTGTGACGCAGCCAGCAGCGTCCAGTCCGTACTGACCAGGCACGGCAGGAGCAGCCTGAGGATAAGAACCAGCATTATTATTGGCTAAAGAGTCAAACATTAGCTGTTGAAGTTGTTAAACATATTGTTACATACAAGGAAATGAAGAGTGAGCTACGGCTTTAGAGAGAGAAGTAGCTAGTCAGCCGTTATGGACAGTCTTCAAGCTGGCACTGGACAAGCACCTAAAGTCAGTTCCTGACCAGCCGGGCTGTGGCTCGTACGTTGGTTTGCGTGCAGCCAGCAGTAACAGCCTGGTTGATCAGGCTCTGATCCACTAGGAGCCCTGGTCACAGAGCGGGCCGCGGGGGCGTTGACCCCCGGAACTCTCTCCATGTAAACTCCAGTGCAGACACCAGGCATGGAGAGCTCATAGGGTAACTCAAATTTCCTCACAAATTGCATAGTTGGATATTCAACAGTTTTCATCTAACCAACGGTAAAGGCGACAGCACACTTTTTGACAAATGAAACATGAAGTCGGGGCTACATATTTTGATCTGTTTCAAATATGCTTCCAAATGTGTTTCTTCTCTCCCAGTGACTATTGTTTATTACACTACCATACATTATATACAGTGACTCACCTGGAAGCTGGCGGCGACTCTTGCTGGCTGTCGGAGAGCATTGAGGGCAGCTACGTGGGCGTGAGCATGGTTACCAAGGAACGCATATGCAGGCTGGTGGAACTGCACGGGCCCCGAGGGTCCTACGAGACCAGATGGTCCGATGACTCCGGAGGGACCTACGAGGCCAGCCTGTGGCATGGCTGCAGCAGCCGCTACCAAACACAGCACCACCTGTCGCCAGCAACACAACATTCACCGTTAGTTTAGATATGTGACCACTGATATAGAGTACAAAATCGCGAGTCTCCCTTTGGAGGTGTCTATTTTGGTTAAGGATTTTTGATCCAAAAAATATTTTAACTATCTTAACCTCCTAGAATCAAACTGATTACCTTAAATTTCATATGGGCTTCTTTACCTCTACGGGTTTAGCGCTTTCCCACGGCTTAATAACAAACACTAACACTATTTATCTCACTCATCAGTTGTACCTTGTTATGCAGTTGTTAAATCCTAAATTTATAGAGCTTCACATTTCTGTGTTGCGGTTGAAATATGTCCACTAGTCCCCTTCCTTTGTATTTGACTGGCTCGTCTTCCTTATTTCCCACTTCTACCACTACCACTACTACTACCTCTTCTTCTTCTACTACAACTACTGATGAAATTAAGACACATGTGCGGCGTCTGGTTGTCTTTGTTGTGGACGTTTCGCCATCCAGTGGCTGGCAGGATGGCGAAACGTCTACGGTGGGGATGCCCGGGTGTTGTGCATGTGTCATTTCATCCTGTCGGTATTATATACATTCTTGTACTACTACTTCTACTACTACTTCTACTACTACTACTACTACCTCCACCTCTTCCTGCCTATATATAGCCTTCCTGCTCCACCTCTGTTAGTGTGACTTTGTCAATGGTCCAAGTCGGACCGAAACGTCGTCGCTTCTCTCTTTTATGTGCGGGTTATTTGTGTATCGTTCCAGTCACGGTATTGTGCCTTTTTGTTATTTATGTCCACTAGTGTTTCCATGATCGTGCTGGTCACCTGTATATTGTAGAACATTATGTTATTTTAAATATGTAAATGTATAAATATTAATTGTTCAGGAAGAATGTTGTGATAACAGGAAGTAATGACAATATACAACTTATTTTTGCACCACGAATGATACTTGTACTGATCTTTGCACCAGAATTTCCGGATTACTATTTTATATGTGCGCAGTATGTTATTACAAGTAGTTAATGTGGTTATCAGGTGAAGGTTGGGTATGGAGGAGATGGTAGGAAGTACAGTGTCCAGTGAGGAAGGATGGAGGAGTCGTGACCGGACAAATGATAGACGGACATTTGACCGAAGGAAAATTGGCCGAACGGACATTGAGGCGACAGCCATTTGGCCGAACGGACAATAGACCGAACAGATTAATTAGGTTAGGATAAGGTGATGAATGTCAGTTCGGCCATATGTCCATTCGGTGAAATGTCAGCCGGCCAAAAGTCCCGGAGCCGGAGAAGACGACAGGGAGTACACAGTGTCTAGTGAGGGGGGTGAGATGGAGATGGTAAAGGGTATGCAATGTTTTGGAGTATCTGAATAAGATTAATGAAAGCGTAGTGCTGGTATATGTTAAAGAAAATCATACAATGACACTTTTGATGGTCCAACGTTTCATGAACGACTGGACGTGATCAAGTACTTGATAAAACTCTCGTGGGTGAAACAATGCACCAGCTAGATGTATTTCAGTTATGCAGTATAGGGATACGTATACTGCATAACCCTAGTCCTCTGTTTCATATTGTATAACCCTAGTCCCCTGTTCCATATTGCATAACCCTAGTTCCCTGTTCCATATTACATAACCCTAGTCCCCTGTTCCATATTACATAACCCTAGTCCCCTGTTCCATATTGCATAACTCTAGTCCCCTGTTCCATATTACATAACTCTAGTCCCCTGTTCCATATTACATAACCCTAGTTCCCTGTTCCATATTACATAACCCTAGTTCCCTGTTCCATATTACATAACCCTAGTCCCTGTTCCATATTACATAACTCTAGTCCCCTGTTCCATATTACATAACTCTAGTCCCCTGTTCCATATTACATAACTCTAGTTCCCTGTTCCATATTACATAACCCTAGTTCCCTGTTCCATATTACATAACCCTAGTTCCCTGTTCCATATTACATAACCCTAGTCCCCTGTTCCATATTACATAACTCTAGTCCCCTGTTCCATATTACATAACTCTAGTCCCCTGTTCCATATTACATAACTCTAGTCCCCTGTTCCATATTACATAACCCTAGTTCCCTGTTCCATATTACATAACCCTAGTTCCCTGTTCCATATTACATAACCCTAGTCCCCTGTTCCATATTACATAACTCTAGTCCCCTGTTCCATATTACATAACTCTAGTCCCCTGTTCCATATTACATAACTCTAGTCCCCTGTTCCATATTACATAACCCTAGTTCCCTGTTCCATATTACATAACCCTAGTCCCTGTTCCATATTACATAACTCTAGTCCCCTGTTCCATATTACATAACCCTAGTTCCCTGTTCCATATTACATAACCCTAGTCCCCTGTCCATATTACATAAACTCTAGTCCCCTGTTCCATATTACATAACCCTAGTTCCCTGTTCCATATTACATAACCCTAGTTCCCTGTTCCATATTACATAACCCTAGTCCCCTGTTCCATATTACATAACTCTAGTCCCCTGTTCCATATTACATAACCCTAGTTCCCTGTTCCATATTACATAACCCTAGTTCCCTGTTCCATATTACATAACCCTAGTCCCCTGTTCCATATTGCATAACCCTAGTCCCCTGTTCCTTATTACATAACCCTAGTTCCCTGTTCCATATTACATAACCCTAGTCCCCTGTTCCATATTACATAACCCTAGTTCCCTGTTCCATATTACATAACCCTAGTTCCCTGTTCCATATTACATAACCCTAGTCCCCTGTTCCATATTGCATAACCCTAGTCCCTGTTCCTTATTACATAACCCTAGTTTCCCTGTTCCATATTACATAACCCTAGTCCCCTGTTCCATATTACATAACCCTAGTCCCCTGTTCCATATTACATAACTCTAGTCCCCTGTTCCATATTACATAACCCTAGTCCCCTGTTCCATATTACATAACCCTAGTCCCCTGTTCCATATTACATAACTCTAGTCCCCTGTTCCATATTACATAACCCTAGTCCCCTGTTCCATATTACATAACTCTAGTCCCCTGTTCCATATTGCATAACCCTAGTCCCCTGTTCCTTATTACATAACCCTAGTTCCCTGTTCCATATTACATAACCCTAGTCCCCTGTTCCATATTACATAACCCTAGTCCCCTGTTCCATATTACATAACCCTAGTTCCCTGTTCCATATTACATAACCCTAGTCCCCTGTTCCATATTACATAACCCTAGTCCCCTGTTCCATATTACATAACCCTAGTCCCCTGTTCCATATTACATAACTCTAGTCCCCTGTTCCATATTACATAACCCTAGTTCCCTGTTCCATATTACATAACCCTAGTCCCCTGTTCCATATTACATAACCCTAGTCCCCTGTTCCATATTGCATAACCCTAGTCCCCTGTTCCTTATTACATAACCCTAGTTCCCTGTTCCATATTACATAACCCTAGTCCCCTGTTCCATATTACATAACCCTAGTCCCCTGTTCCATATTACATAACCCTAGTTCCCTGTTCCATATTACATAACCCTAGTCCCCTGTTCCATATTACATAACTCTAGTCCCCTGTTCCATATTACATAACCCTAGTTCCCTGTTCCATATTACATAACTCTAGTCCCCTGTTCCATATTACATAACCCTAGTTCCCTGTTCCATATTACATAACTCTAGTCCCCTGTTCCATATTACATAACCCTAGTTCCCTGTTCCATATTACATAACTCTAGTCCCCTGTTCCATATTACATAACTCTAGTCCCCTGTTCCATATTACATAACTCTAGTCCCCTGTTCCATATTACATAACTCTAGTCCCCTGTTCCATATTACATAACCCTAGTTCCCTGTTCCATATTACATAACTCTAGTCCCCTGTTCCATATTACATAACTCTAGTCCCCTGTTCCATATTACATAACCCTAGTTCCCTGTTCCATATTACATAACCCTAGTCCCCTGTTCCATATTACATAACTCTAGTCCCCTGTTCCATATTACATAACCCTAGTCCCCTGTTCCATATTACATAACCCTAGTTCCCTGTTCCATATTACATAAACTCTAGTCCCCTGTTCCATATTACATAACCCTAGTTCCCTGTTCCATATTACATAACTCTAGTCCCCTGTTCCATATTACATAACCCTAGTTCCCTGTTCCATATTACATAACTCTAGTCCCCTGTTCCTTAATGCGATCGACAGCAGTAGTACAGAGAGTGGCATATGTGTAGAAGATTTGCAGCTAATCTGAATAGACATTCGCAAGTTTTCACATTAGAACTAATATCCAAGTTGCTGTTTTTTTCTCAATAAAAATTACAACCAGAACATAAACAACCCACAATTAATTCACACCTTCCACCAGGAAACACTAGCATTTAAAACAAACTGGTGTACCTGTTATCTCACAGAGACCAATATCCTACAATAAACCAGTACATTACCTTTGTAAATTGTGAGTTCATTACCTTTGTAAATTGTGAGTTCATTACCTCTGTAACTTGCTCAGCTATCAAAACTTTGGAGTCCAGTCCCTGGACCAATTATGTACCTCTGTAATCTTTTGACTACCTCCCACAGGATGGGTATGGGGTGCATAATAAACATATTAAACTAACTAACAACATTGAGTTTGGAGCCGCTCGGAGGCTCCAAACTCAATATTTTGCATTGAAAAGTTGAAGTAAATAATATGATGCACTCGGAAATTCTAGCATGAAAAGCAGTGTTCAGTGTTTACATTTTTTTTCTTAAAAGAGGCCAACTAGTCACGTGACTTAAATTTTGTTTGGAGTGCGCACACATGTTATAGGCATATAAAAGTACATTACATGAATTTACTGGAGGATAACCCAGTAAAGTCAGTGATCAGACACTCCAGTTATTTACCCGAGGATAACACAGTAAAGTTAGTGATAAGACACTCCAGTTATTTACCCGAGGATAACACAGTAAAGTTAGTGATAAGACACTCCAGTTATTTACCCGAGGATAACACAGTAAAGTTAGTGATAAGACACTCCAGTTATTTACCCGAGGATAACACAGTAAAGTTAGTGATAAGACTCCCCAGTTATTTACCCGAGGATAACACAGTAAAGTTAGTGATAAGACACTCCAGTTATTTACCCGAGGATAACACAGTAAAGTTAGTGATAAGACACTCCAGTTATTTACCCGAGGATAACACAGTAAAGTTAGTGATAAGACTCCCCAGTTATTTACCCGAGGATAACACAGTAAAGTTAGTGATAAGACACTCCAGTTATTTACCCGAGGATAACACAGTAAAGTTAGTGATAAGACACTCCAGTTATTTACCCGAGGATAACACAGTAAAGTTAGTGATAAGACACTCCAGTTATTTACCCGAGGATAACACAGTAAAGTTAGTGATAAGACACTCCAGTTATTTACCCGAGGATAACACAGTAAAGTTAGTGATAAGACACTCCAGTTATTTACCCGAGGATAACACAGTAAAGTCAGTGATAAGACACTCCAGTTATTTACCCGAGGATAACACAGTAAAGTCAGTGATAAGACACTCCAGTTATTTACATAAATCAATTTGATCAATAAAATTGACACTTTAAAACTTTCACGACTTAAAATCATGGCAAAGCTTCCTCTGAGGACTGGAAATTTGAGGCTCAATAAGAGGCCTTCCCAAGTTATCGCAAGGATTCCAACGATTCCAAATTTAATAACCAATTTAATGTAGTGAAAAGTTTGCCAACACATAAACTAAAGATGCATCAGCCATTAAATAATGAAGCCATTCAGAAAAGAGACTGATAAATAATAATAACAATACTACTACTACTACGACTGCTACTACTACTACTACTACTATTACTACTACTACTACTATTGCTACTACTACTACTACTGCTACTACTACTACTATTACTACTACTACTACTACTATTACTACTACTATTACTACTACTACTATTACTACTACTACTACTACTATTACTACTACTATTACTACTACTACTATTACTACTACTACTAATAAAAATAATAATAATAAAAAAAATAATCTTTATTTCTACTAACTACATGATACAACTGAAACGGACTTAGTTGACATTAATGACATAATCTGGTTATGCAGAGCATTTCTGGCAGCTTAACTTAATCTTGTTGATACGACCCACAACAGTGGACTAACACCCAGGTACCTACTTACTGCTAGGTGAACAGGAACAGCAGCTGTAAGGAAATACGCCCAACGTTTCACCCCTGTCAGGGATCGTTATCGGAACCTTCAGTGTGAGAGCTGAGGACGCTACCAAGTAAGCCAGCTGAGGACGCTACCAGGTAAGACAGCTGAGGACGCTACCAGGTAAGTCAGCTAAGGATACTACCAGGCAAGCCAGCTGAGGACGCCACTAGGCAAACCAGCTGAGGATGCTACCAGACAAGCCAGCAGAGGACACTACCAGGTAAGTCATCTGAGGACACTACCAGGCAAGCCACTTGATTTAATAAAACTTACTGAATATTTACAAACTTAAGAGATGTAGTTCACAACTCACCAAAAGCTTCATGTTGTGTGTTTAATGTGTTGTTGAGGAGTGATACGACGCACTGGACTAACAGCCTTTTATACAGCTGGTGCAGCGTGACGTCAGGACCCGTTAGTCGATGAGGACACACCCTAGGAACCAGATGGCGGAAATAAGAGACACTACTTTGGGTCACTTGTTCATCATTCTTTATTTTGCGTTTTATATTGTTTTCCAGTAAACCTCGTAGGCGTCTAGTAGACCTGAAAATAGTAACTCACCCAGGATCCTTCCGCTTACAATTTGTTTAGCATAATGTAGTTGACTACTTCCACATGACTGATACAGAGAATTATTATAGGTTAAAATAAGCATATTTGTATTATAAATTGGTGCCGATCGTGCTATCTATTGACCATTACTTACAATATTAAGTAGCTGCTGCTCGGACAATATGACAATGGAAATAAATCACTTTGTCTGACTTTTTTGGATTATTCCAGGTTCTCTACACATATGCTGCTATATATGATAATTCTATGTAACTGTATTTGTGTATACCTGAATAAACTTACTTAGGGACGATTTGACACGGGAGAGGACGAACGTTAAGGAAATGTCAGCGGTAAGGAGGGGCTGGGAGGACCCCAGTCACTCTGGCCTTGTGAGAGTGAATCTGGGCGAGTGATCTTGTCTGCCCTGACGCTCAGGTGGCGCAGTTTTTTGTTAAATAAAATTTCGTACATTAAATACATAATGGTTACACAGTGATAATAAAAATTAATTGTTTCCCTCGTCATGTTTTACCAACAGGATGAGTTTCGTAGGAATTCGGTCACTTGATCTGTGAGACTTCAAAGATGTCGATCCAGCGTAGCTCGGTTGGTAGCGCACTCAGCACACATATTGACGTCCGTGGTTCGATTCCCATTACGGGTGGAAACATTTGGGCGTGTTTTCTTACGACACCTGCAGTCCCTGTCCACCTAGGAGTAAATAGGTGTGTGTGTCGCATCCTGGGGACAAAATTAAGCTAATTTGCCCGAAATGCTCTGCATAAGCAGGGGCTCTCTCTATACAATGTATAAGTTGTATTATGTACTTGTAGAAATCAAGATTTATTATTATTATTATTACTATTATTATTATTATTATTATTATTATTATTATTATTATTATTATTATTATTATTATTATTATTATTACTTAGGAATTTGAACCTCTTCACATCTTGCTTGGGAAAGCCATCTTAATCACACACGGAAAAAAAATGAATTTATAAAGATATCTCCATTACAAAGACTGAGAAAGACGTATGGGATGGTAGGAAGGTAGAGATGGGTAGGGAGATAGAGATGGGTAGAGAGGTAGAGATGGGTAGGAAGGTAGAGATGGGTAGGGAGGTAGAGATGGGTAGGGAAATAGAGATGGGTAGGGAGGTGATGGGTAGGGAGGTAGAGATGGGCAGGGAGGTAGATATGGCTACAGAGGTAGAGATAGGTAGGGAAGTGGAGATGGGTAGAGAGGGGTAGGAAGGTGGAGATGGGTAGAGAGGGGTAGGGAGGTGGAGATGGGTAGAGAGAGGTAGGGAGGTGGAGATGGGTAGAGAGGTAGTCATGTGTAGGGAGGTAGAGATGGGTAGGGAGGTAGACATGTGTAGGGAGGTAGAGATAGGTAGGGAGGTAGAAATGGGTGGGGGGGGGTAGAGATTGGTAGGGAGGTAGAACGTGAGGCTCATTGGAGAACAGGGATCACCGGGGATAAACCAGCTATCTCTTTATGTCTCTCAATTATTTATATTATCAAACTTATATACAATCACACTGAGGGATGCTCGTTATGTGACATTATAAAAGTTAAGAGAAGAGGCAAGATATATTTACCTGACACAACCGTCACCGAGGATGGTTCCTCTGTCACACTTCATCATACAGGATGGTTCTCCTGTCATACTCCATCACACAGGATGATTCTCCTGTTATACTCCATCACACAGGATGGTTCTTCTGTCATACTCCATCACACAGGATGGTTCTCCTGTCATACTCCATCACACAGGATGATTCTCCTGTTATACTCCATCACACAGGATGGTTCTCCTGTCATACTCCATCACACAGGATGGTTCTCCTGTCATACTCCATCACACAGGATGATTCTCCTGTTATACTCCATCACACAGGATGGTTCTCCTGTCATACTCCATCACACAGGATGGTTCTTCTGTCATACTCCATCACACAGGATGGTTCTCCTGTCATACTCCATCACACGGGATGGTTTTCCTGTCATACTCCATCACACGGGATGGTTCTCCTGTCATACTCCATCACACAGGATGATTCTCCTGTTATACTCCATCACACAGGATGATTCTCCTGTTATACTCCATCACACAGGATGGTTCTCCTGTCATACTCCATCACACAGGATGGTTCTCCTGTCATACTCCATCACACGGGATGGTTTTCCTGTCATACTCCATCACACGGGATGGTTCTCCTGTCATACTCCATCACACGGGATGGTTCTCCTGTTATACTCCATCACACAGGATGGTTCTTCTGTCATACTCCATCACACAGGATGGTTCTCCTGTCATACTCCATCACACGGGATGGTTTTCCTGTCATACTCCATCACACGGGATGGTTCTCCTGTCATACTCCATCACACAGGATGATTCTCCTGTTATACTCCATCACACAGGATGGTTCTCCTATCATACTCCATCACACAGGATGATTCTCCTGTCATACTCCACACAGGATGATTCTCCTGTCATACTCCATCACACAGGATGATTCTCCTGTCATACTCCATCACTCAGTATGGTCTTCCTGTCACACTTCATCCCACAGGATGAATTTCCTTTCATGATCCGATGAAGAGGTCAGTTGTACTGTCATAGTCCACGCTTGAAATCGGTGAGGATCTAACCCATTCTCTCTCTCTCTCTCTCTCTCTCTCTCTCTCTCTCTCTCTCTCTCTCTCTCTCTCTCTCTCTCTCTCTCTTTCTCTCGTTTATTCTTGTTTTTTACAAGGTTGGGTTAAGAGTTCCTACCATCATTTAATAGCTAAGCGCTGTTACCTACCTCAGTCCATATGAAAGGATTACCTTTATTAAAATCGTATTTTCATGAAACATGCAAATAGGAAACAGAGGATGAAGTTGGAGCCAGCTGTTGCCCAGAGATTTCACTCGGTCATTGCACAATATTTCATTGTTGTTGTAATTCTGTACGAACATGTTCTTGACTCGAGTCGCTCTAGGAATGGATGATCTCAGAGATGACTTCATGTTCTTGAGAAGAGTAGAACCAGAGTGTAGCTGTTATTTGTTGGCCGTCTTGATGTGAAGTCAAGTGTGGTACCTTGACAACATTGGCTTCGTACACAACAATAAGGTCACTGAATTCTCTCCGGAGTTGAAGGCTCTACCGAAATGATAGATCAATCCAGGTCGGGTCCAGGTGAAAGATAAACAGTCTTGCACGGTCCTTTTTTTCTGTCCAGAAGTCATAGAGGAGACGGTAGAGCAGAGTAAGAGTGCTGTTGGCTTCTTTTGTTTTGATAAAAAAAAAATCCATGACATTTTGGAGTCAGTTTTCACCTCTAGGGTATCTACCTCATCCTCGGGTACCAACACTCTTCCAGTCATTCTTTCCACTGCTCCAGCATTACCATCATCGTACCTGGAGATCATCATGGTGCCTAGAGACCATCATGGTGCCTAGAGACTATCATGGTGCCTAGAGACCATCATGGTGCCTAGAGACCTTCATCATTAGACTTTTCTCAGAGGTAAATGTAACCTGCTATTGTTTTCTCCAGGTTGATGTAACTGTAAGCTGGTGATTGATGTACCTGAGAACTGCAGGCATTTCCTGTTTTGCAAAAGTAAATGTCAGAGAAGTTATCTCTCTCTCTCTCTCTCTCTCTCTCTCTCTCTCTCTCTCTCTCTCTCTCTCTCTCTCTCTCTCTCTCTCTCTCTCTCTCTCTCTCTCTCTCTCTCTCTCTCTCTCTCTCTCTCTCTCTCTCTCTCCTCTCTCTCTCTCTCTCTCTCTCTCTCTCTCTCTCTCTCTCTCTCTTCTCTCTCTCTCTCTCTCTCTCTCCCCTCTCTCTCTCTCTCTCTCTCTCTCTCTCTCTCTCTCTCTCCTCTCTCTCTCTCTCTCTCTCTCTCTCTCTCTCTCTCTCTCTCGTTCTCTATCTATTATCTATCTACTTATCTATCTACCTATCTACGTATTTATTTACCTATCTGTCTATCTATCTATCTCTCGTCAACACCTTGAGTCTTAACGTTATCTATTTCTTTATAAACATTTCCTCTAATATCTCCACACTTTTTACAATTCTTTACATATTTTTGATTACATTTCACTGTTCTCATCTCTTGATCGCAAAATACAAATATTATAAGAAACTGGCTCTCCACTTCGGCTGTTACCCGGAAGTTCTTGAAGCCGATTTGAGAGAGTCACTGCCTGGACCCAGGTCACTGGCTGGACCCAGGTCACTGCCTGGACCCAGGTCACTGCCTGGACCCAGGTCACTGCCTGGACCCAGGTCACTGCCTGGACCCAGGTCACTGCCTGGACCCAGGTCACTGCCTGGACCCAGGTCAGGTATCTTGGGTGATGGCCTGCTCAACTAGGCTGTTAGTGCTGGCCGCACGCAGTCCAACGTACGGCCCAGAGCCTTGCTGTGGTTATGCACTCATTTTTCATGTCACAGCTGAATGAGGTCACATCTCAGTAAGGTTACAGCTGGGTGAGGTCACATCTCAGTAAGGTTACAGCTGGGTGAGGTCACATCTCAGTAAGGTTACAGCTGGGTGAGGTCACATCTCAGTAAGGTTACAGCTGGGTGAGGTCACATCTCAGTAAGGTTACAGCTGGGTGAGGTCACATCTCAGTAAGGTTACAGCTGGGTGAGGTCACATCTCAGTAAGGTTACAGCTGGGTGAGGTCACATCTCAGTAAGGTTACAGCTGGGTGAGGTCACATCTCAGTAAGGTTACAGCTGGGTGAGGTCACATCTCAGTAAGGTTACAGCTGAGTGAGGTCACATCTCAGTAAGGTTACAGCTGGGTGAGGTCACATCTCAATAAGATTTCAGCTGGGTGAGGTCACATCTC